AAACCCTGTCTCGAAAAACCAAAAAAAAAAAAAAAAAATGAGTTTTCTACACAGAGAAACCTTGTCTCAAAAAAACAAAAATGAGTTTTAATTTGTCTCCTTCCTGAAAGACTGGGCACCAAAACAACAAAAGCAGGACAGTTAGAAAGGCTTTGGGATTCCTGTTGGTTTTTGAGGAAGTGGAAACTTCAGCCGGATCATTTCTCTCCAATGTTTTCCCACTGCTGCCCGGCTAGATGGTCACCAAATGCTCACAGTGTGTTAGTTCCCCTGGAGACACTGTCTTCTGATGGGTTAGCCCCTTCCCTTGAGCGTTTACTTTGCAGTATGAAAGTAAACAGAATTATCAATATCTGTCATGTACGTGGAATGGTACAAGACAATTTCAGATATTACTCTACTCAGAATCTATGGAGCTGAGTGTGGCTGTAGAGAAAGTCTCAGAGGAGAAAGGACACTTAACACTAGGGGCCTAAGTATCTGTGGGAGACAGTAGACTATAGAAGCAGCTAAGAGGATGAATTTTTTTCCCTGTAAAGTCATCTGGCTTTCTCTTCCTCTTAAAAATTAAGTAGTATTGCCAAATCAGATGAGTTCATTGTCTTCCCAGGGCTAAGAACAGAGCTTGAAATTCCCTCTTTAAGTGAGGAATTGTCGAAGAAAACCTGAGGTATAAATTGTCAGCCTCCTGGCCGGGACCATGGCTCCCAGAAGTTGCTGAGTGTTTCATTTGCTTTGTGGGTTTTGGTTTTCTTGTGTATGTGTGCCCTTGATATCTCAAAGTGACCTTGCCTGTTCTGTTTGCTGACCCTTCATTCTAAAACCTCTTTCTTTTTTTTGGGGGGGGGGGGGGTTGGTTTGGTTTGGTTTTTCGAGACAGAGTTTCTCTGTGTAACAGTCCTGGCTGTCCTGGAACTCACTTTGTAGACCAGGCTGGCCTCGAACTCACAGAGATCCACCTGGCTCTGCCTCCTGAGTGCTGGAGTGCTGGGATTAAAGGCGTGCGCCACCAACGCCCGGCACTTCTTTACTTTCTTGAACCTTGGTCTGACTGTCTTAATGCTGAACCTACTGTATTCCAGCTTGCTGCCTTTGAGTGACTTTCATGGATTAACAAAATAATTTATACCAAGTTTATTTTTGCTGTACTTCGGAAATAATCTGATCCACCTTAGACTAGATTCAACTCTTCTTTATAAAGAATCTTAAACATAAAACAAGCCTCTCTTACTGTGAGTCAAAGTCCTCTCTAAGGTTTTTGTTAATCAACTCAGCTAAACTGGGATACTTTGATTCTCTGGGTTTAACTCACGTTCTCCAGTCTCAATGCATTTGCTTCCCCTTGCCCCTCCCTCCTGATGAAAAGAAGTCTCACTGAGGCGCCACTTCTCCCAGAGTTGTTCTGAGCCCCCATACAAGCTGTTGTTTCTGCTGCTCTTATGCTCCCTCTCTTGAAGCAGGAAACCCATTCTTTGGGACATATTATAATAAGTCTCGATGCGGAGATTTTTTAGAAGCATAAGGGAAAACTACATGCTGAGTGTCTTTGGAGGGAACTGATTGGCCAGAGCACAAGAAGATGTCTGGCTTTTCACTGTACATCTTATTTTTTAACTTTATGCCACATATATACTGAGATCCTATCTATTTATGGGATTTTCAGAGGGAAACATGGAGCAGAGTAGACATGGCTTTAGAATCCTAGCCCTTCCTCTGAGAGCCTCTTCCAGCACACTGGCCTCTTTGGGTCCTGCCTACTCTACTCCCAGGAGTTACCCAGAAGAATGTTCAGCATTAATTATGCCCAGGAAATGAACCAATTAGACACAGTCTGCAGAGACACGAGGCAGTCAGAAGGTC